GGAGATATGATCTAAGGCACATGTGTCAAACACAAGGCCCGCGGGCCAAATCCATCCCGCCAGGCCTTGCAATGTGGCCGGCACCGCGCTGTCATCACTGCACTCTGCTGCGTTTCCATCACAATGACAGTTTATTACTGTTCAGTAAACCATTCGGCCCGCGATTTAGGCTGTATTTTAGATTTTGGCCCCTTCTCTGATTGAGTTCAACACCCCTAAAAGGAATACAATGTCTCTCTAAGAAACCATAGCAATTCTAGTAAGATATTTTATTTGCCCTGTGTGGGTCACACACCCAGCATTCATTTAACAAATGCTGTATTTATGTAGTGCCAGCATGGAGTCAGCCCTAGCTAGGTACATGGAAACTTCAGTGAGGTCCTGCTCTTGGGCATCTTCATTGCAGGAGGAGGCGGAATAAAAAAATGGACATGATAAGCAAGAAAGTTGCACAGCACTTTAGAAGTAAAAACTACTACAGGTCTCTGAGCAGATGATGGGGGGCACCTAAACTAGAGACTAAAGATTGGACCTGGAGGTCTAGACCTAAATCTTCCCCTTATTTCCTGAGTGGTTTTAGACGAGTCCCTTTTCCTGAACCTTAGTTCTCTGTGTGGATGCTGTGAATCCTGGACCACACTCAGAAATCTGAGATTCCCTCTAGCTTGTGGTAGACTAAATAATGGCCACCCAGAGATATCTGGTCCTCATGTCTGGAACCTGTAAATGTTACCTTACAAAGAAAAGAAGTCTTCGTTTTTCATGGTTAAGGATCTTCATGTGAGGATATTATCCTGTATTATTTAAGCAGGTCCTACGTCAAATCCCAAGTGTCTTTTTAAGAGAGGGGTAGGGTGCGATTAAACACCACAGGAGAAGGTAAAGATAGAGACAGAGATGAGAGGACATGGTCACAAAGGAATGTGGTAGCCAGCAAAAGGGAAGGTTCCCTCCAGCCTCCAGGGGGAGTGTGGTACCTCCAACTCCTTGATTTCAGCCCAATGAAACTGATGTTGAGCTCTGGCTTCCAGAACTCTATGGAATAAATGTCTATTGTTTAAGCTGCCATGTTTGTAATTTGTTATGGCAACTGGAAGAAATGAAGGAACTGCCCTCTGAGTCGATTGTCTCTCACCTGTTCTCCATGCCCATCGATCCAGCAAGGCTTGTAGTCACACTTGATGCCTGCTCCAAAACAGAGCAAGACACGTGTCTTTCTTTAAGCCTGCAGAAAGGCGGAGGGCTCATTTAGTCTCAAGTTCTCTATTTCTTTACTTGACACGTTTTCTGTGGTTGCCACCAACACAACGCAGCTTCCTCCCTCTGCCACATCCAGTTTCTCATTGTTGTTGTCCTATCTAAGAGTCAGTTTCCAGTGGAGTACCTTGCATCAGAAAATACAATAATTTAATGACCTTGAGGTCATTGGTTTGTGAGTAACCAAGACAACATTCATTTTAGCAGCAAGTATATTCATTCAATAAATATTTCTTGAGCATTACCCTGTGCCAGCCATAGGCAACAATAGGGAACCTGGGACAATAGGACACCTGACAGGAAAAGTACTCATTCTAGTGGAGCTGGCAGTGGGGTGAGTCACACACAGTGAAGCTTATATGTATGTACTCAAGCTTCAGTTGCAGCAAAATTCTAATTTTCCAAGATTGTTCACCATGTCTCTGCTGGGTGAACTTCCTCATGGAATATTCCCTTGCTTGAACTTCTATAAGGAGTCCTGGGAAATATTTTTAGCACACAAGAACTCTCTTGGGGCCAAACAATACAGAGCTTGGCTCATAAGAGACTCTTCTGCTTTTTCTACATTTCACCATTTATGCCCATGCTATCCCTTCAACCCAGGGCTCTGGGCTTTGAGTAGAAGGCTGAAGGAGTAAAAATACTATGGGGATGCCCTTAACTATGTGGCTCAGTTGATTGGACATCATCCTATGGACCGGGAGGTCAACAGTTCAATTCCCAGTCAAAGCACATGCCCAAGGTTGCAGGCTCGATTCCTGGTGAAGGGTGTGCAGGAGGCAGTAATCAAAGTTTTCCTCTCATCGAGTTTCTCTCTCTTCCTCTCCCTTCCTCTTTCTTTCTAAAATCAATAAACATATTAGAAGGGAGAAAAACACTATGGGGAAGAGATAAGAATATTCTAATTGTCCTCCTTTCTTTCATTCTATCCTTTTCATCATTTCTCCAGATCCAAAGTGCTCTCAAAAGAGAAAGAAAAAAAAAATAGCAGAAACACTAATAGGATTTCCTCCCTCCCACACATCCTATCTCGGAGCAGTGTCTCAATGTCCTGTGCTGAAATGGTACCCCCTGCCACGGGGAGCTCAGGTGGACAACCTGAGTCATTTCTGATGTTTGTTTTTCCTTCATACCCTACCTCTAAGCACCCCAATTTTTAAAAAAATAAACCCATAAATTCTATTGTACTTTTTCTTTCTATTACTTCACTTCTGGTTTTGATTTGAAAAAGAAAAGAAGTAAAAGGCCAGGAATACAATCTATGGGAAGGATTTGAAGCTTCTTTCAATTGCAGGAACCTAGGCACCTATGAATGGCCCTGCAGACTACATCACCTGCATAGTGGTTTAGGGTCTCAGGACATTTAGTTGGTGCTGCTCTTTTGATATTGAATTGACTTTTCCCTCCCGCATTTCATCCTGTGTAGGCAGCAGACAGCAAAGCACACCAAGTTAACTTGGGACATAGTAAATGCTCAATAAATGTTTGTTGAATTAACAGTTGGATTTTTATGATAAGCAACAAAAAGTGACACTATGAATTGTAAAAAAGAAAAAGAAAAAAAAAGATGCTGTTTACTACCCAACACTCCTGATCTAAAGCAGCACCACACTTAATTGGGTTACTCTTAGGTTATGGTCAACAGTGAGGGTGAGCTAGGAGATTGATGGGACATTGGCTCCTGGAAGTGATTTAATTATTGTTAGGACTAGAGGCCCAGTACACGAATTCATGCACTGGTGGGGTCCAGCCGGCCCAGCTCCAATCAGGGTGGATTGGAGCGGGAGGTTAGCCAGCCTGCCTGTCCTGATTGAGGCCAGATCAGAATCCCTGATCAGGGCTGGGCAGTGGGCAATTGTCTGGCAGGCTCTGCCCCCAATTGGGGTCATGGGGAGGGACTATCGGAGGTGGGCTGGCTGGCCCTGCTTCCAAATGGGGTGGGTGGGGGTGCTGATCAGGGGCCAGCAACGTGGGTGAGGGTCCATGGGTGGTTGGCCAACTGGCCTTGCCTCTGATTGGGGTAGGGGGGCCAATCTGGGGTGAGGCTGGCCAGGAGGAGGGGCTACGGGTCAATCAGGGTGGTGGGGGCCAATCTGGACATGGCAATCAGGGGCGGGCCAGCTTGGGGGAGGGGCTGCAAGCCTATAGTGGTGGGGTGAGTAGATTGGGGGCATGGCTAGTAAGGGAGTATTTGGTGGACCCTGCTCTTGATCACGGTGGGAGAGTCTAATCAAGGGCAGGCCGGCCAACCTCTTGGCCTCACTTCCTGATTGGGCTGGTTTGCTGGCCACAGTGGGTATCATAGGGACCAGTTGTTACGGTCGTTATGGCCGTTACAGTAGCTAGCTCTTTATATATATAGATTTGTCAGAATCATGGACCTGGGTGGTACTATAGAAACCATCCAAAGAAAATAGTGAATCGGTTTTTGTCTATACGATTCTCAGTGTGCCCATTAACCCCACCTTCTGGCTATTTCGCTTCCTTTTTGAAGAGGTAGACCATTTTTCTTCAGAAATGTATATGCTGTGATCCCCGAAGAGTCACCATTGATTATACGTAGTTGCCTCTTCATCAATTGAGGAAAGATCTGCAGTGTGATGACTGGAGGTGTAGGGGGCAAGTGCACAGGGTGGTGCTGTGGGCCTTTAACAACCATCATTCTTTGTATTTCTTGCTCTCAGCTTTCACAGTAGACCTATGCTTATTTCAAGGCAAGCACAAAGAGGAGAGAATTTGAAAATTTGTTGAAGACCACAGTAACTGCAGAAGCACGCTGACCTTCCAGGGAAAGAAAGAGCTGAAAGGAAGCCATGCTGCACTACCTAGGGTTTGGAGTATCTGCACACTGCAGAAATGCACACACTGAGGCTCCTTATTTTGCACTCTGGAATCTCTCACTCCTTCTCCCTCTCTCACCCTCACCTTTTAGGTCAGTGATTGGGAGGAAGCCTTAGCTACCACCAGCTGTATATGGAACCTGGCCCAGCACCAGGGATGCAGCAAGGGAGCCCATGCTGCAGATTAAAACTGGGACTCTAAATCCATATTTCACAGAAACGTTATTGTAACCTGCATTAAACGTCTTGGAGTTTCTCTCTAACCCCAGTCACAGCATCCAGGTCTTCAGCTGAGTTGGCAGTAACATGGGCTCCTATGGGCCAGCCTCAGAACCCATCATCCAGCGAATAGCACTGTTTCTATGGAAACTTGCAATCTGTGACCCAAATACCCAGGTTAAAATGTCGCTGTTCTATTTCACTCAACATGTGGGTCAGTTGGGGATTGCCAATACTAGATAAAAATTGGGCTTCTGGCCCAGCCAGCATGGCTCAGGTTGAGCATCGACCTATGAACCAGGAGGTCATGGTTCGATTCTTGGTCATGGTTGCAGGCTTGATTGATCCCCAGTTTGGGGCATGCAGGAGGTGGCCGATTGGTGATTCTCTCTCATCATTGATTTTTCTATCTATCTCTCCCTCTCTTTTCCTCTCTGAAATTAATAAAAATATGTGTGGGGTTTTTTAAAAAATGTGGCTTCTTTTTTTTTAAATGTGTGGATTTTTTTTTTTTCAATCCGGATTATTCATTCCTGTCACCAGAATCATGGGGGAATCATGTATTCTGAAGATTGTGTGTTTAGATGGAAACTTCTGGTATGAAGAATTAGTCAAGGCTAGGATGGAAATCCTTCTCCAGCCCTTGATTATGTGCTTCTTCTTGTATTTCCTGAACCCCTGCAGGGCGAGCTTTGCTGAGACTTACTGACAAAAAGCTTGAGCGAATGGGGATTGCCCAGGAAAACCTCCGGCAGCACATCTTGCAACAGGTGCTCCAGCTGAAGGTGCGGGAAGAAGTCAGAAATCTGCAGTTACTCACACAAGGTACCCCGCTCTTCCTAGTGGGTGGATGGAAGGGGATACGGGAGGGATTCAGGAGAGCCATGGAGAAACTGTCATTGTGTTTATTTTTGTAGCATTTTCTTTATTTAAAAAAGTATATATAGATTTAAAGGCCACTTCTCATCTCAAATTTGTCTTTTTCATAGCTCACCAGGGGGGAAGAATGCCCAATAGTAATGGATGGGTGAACAGTATTGCCTTAGTTAATTTCAAGGTCATCACATACAACTATGCAGGTTGGGCACCGAACCACCCTAGAAAGTACCCATCACAGAGATCAGGGTACGATGGCACCCCCTAGAGTTGTACCGTGTACACAGTCCACACAAGTTACAGGGCAGCCCAGGCTATCTTCGTCTGAGAGAGCCTTAGAATTTGAACGATTTCATAGTTCATATGACCGGTGATGTAAGTGGAATTTTTGTTATGTTTTGTTTTACTTTGCCTTTCTCTGACTAATGGGAGGAAAACATTTTACAGGTATGTGTCTATATGTATACACACACTCACACACACTAATGTTTGTGAGAACCCTATTTAAAATCTTGAAAATAGAACCATTAAAAAAAAATAGACTATAAGGAATTTAAAACTGGAATGTTAAGACCATATAATTCTAAACAAGAACCATTAATAACTTCAATATGTTAAGAGCACTTAAGAGTTCTATAACTGGAAGTGACGGCATAAAGCTGGAATGTGAAGAAAACCTTAAGTGACACTGTATGAAACTTGTATGTTCAGAGAAGAGTGGGTTACTATCTACCTCCATTGGCTATCACCCTTTATTTCATTTTAATGCCCATTGTATATTGTTTTAAATGAAAGGATAATAAGGTATGTATTTTTGAGAGTCTTGGGTATTTTTCAATCTGTAGAATATTGTAATTGCATGCACACTGATATTGGAGAAATCTGGGTCAGCCAAGTTTCACGTTATTACATATAGATTAGCCCAGTGATATAGACCATTTTCCTAGAGGAACTAATGTGCTGCCTGAAAGATGACTGACTGCCCAGAAGGATAAAGGTAGACTTTGAGTGGTATGAAAATAGTTTTGTTTATTTGTTATGCATTATTTGTACTTGTCTCCAGAGACTTCCGATGGTAAATGTATAGGTATGGGTACATTGAGTGATTTAAATTTAAATTTGAATTTGACACATTGATATACATTTTAGTTTCTCCTAAAAAGTAAATAAAGGTTCATCACAAGAAAGTCCAATGCAGTGCTATCTATGAATCTGAAAAATTAGAAACCACCTAGAGGTCCAGTAATATGGAAAGCATCAAATAATTCTGTTTAAATTCTTAAGATTCAGTATAATGGATCATTCATTTTACATCTTCAAAGAATATATAACAACATGAGAGTGTATTCAAAGAAGTGATAGGAAGTGGTGGGGATTAATATTTTCTTTAAATGAGAGCCCAATTTTATTAAACAATTACATTTTTATATGTACATAGAAAAAGGGATGCAAATGAACATGCCAATATTTTGATAATGGTTCTCTCTGGGTTGTGGGATTATTTTGTGGGGGTAATTTTAATTTTTTCTTTATATTTTTCAAATTTTCTAGTATAAATCTATATTACAGTTATAATCAGAAAAAAACACATGCATTTTTTTAAACTTCAATCGCATGCGTCATTCTGCCAGGTTCTATTTGTATCTGAGGTTTCTTCGGCTCTTTGTTTTCCTCCTGTGATGATATATAAGAAATGAGACCTAAATTTATTATGTGTGCCTTGGACTTGTTTGTTTTTTTTTTAATCTCTGCTACTGTCAGCCTGCAGTGTGTTTGCTTTGCAAAATCATTTTCTACAGCTTTCATCGCCCAAGATGCATAATATATACGGTAAGATTTTTCCTGAGATAGTACTCAAGTCTATTAAGCTAAATATATGTTTGTGTTCTGGGAGGGTAATGCTAAGTTCAGCCTTTTCAATTCAGTTGTCATTTTCTTTCGTTTTCAAAAGCTGTGCATTTTGAATCCTTGCCTTCTATTCCCCTTAGAAGAGGTCACATTCTCCAGCTCTTGGATATTTTGTCTGCACTCATAATACTGTTTTTATTGCCTGTCCTTTACATGTTAATGTTCAAACTCATTTTATGTTAGGCAGCCTTTAGAAAATTCATAGCCTTATTAAAAAGATGGTGTGTTTGGGTTTTTTTTTTTAATGTAAAACAAAAAAATTTGTTTTGTTTTATTTTATTTTGTTGACTGATAAAAGAAGTTCTAAAGACAGCTGGGATTCCTTAAAATATTTTGGGTCTAGGTTTGCCATAGAAGTATGGAAACTGGACTCTTGGTGAACATGCTAAAGAATATACAGATATTTGATTATAATGTTGTATACCTAAAACATATATAATGTAACAAATCAATGTTACTTCATTTTAAGAAAAAGAGAGAGAAAAATTACCCATTAAAAGTCACTCTGCATTTTCTCCCAACACCCCGCCCCCCAGCCACCAAACCTTCACTCCCTCTAATCTACTTTCTGCCTATTTGCCTATTCTGTACATTTTTTTAAATGGAATTATTCAATATGTGGTCATTGGTGATTGGCTGCTTCACTTAGGATAATGTTTTTCAGGTTCACCCATGTTGTAAGCAAGTGCCAAGATTTTATCTCTGTTTATTTCCAAATAATATTTCATTGCAAGAATGTAACATTTTGTTTATCAATTTATACATTAATTGGTGGACATTTGTTTTGCTCTGAATCTTGGCTATTATCAAAAATTCTATTTTCAACATTTGGGCTCAAGCTTTGTGTGAACCTGTTTTCATTTCTCTTGGGTATATTCCTAGGAGTAGAATTGTTGAGTCATATGATAACTCCATATGTAACCATTTAAGGGGCTGCCAGACTGTTTTCCAAAGCAGCTGTATCATTTTACGTTTTCATAAGCAATGCATGAGGGTTCCAATTTCTCTACATCCTTGCCAACATTTGTTATTGTCTTTTTTATTATAACCATTCTGATGTGTGTGAAGTGGTATCTCATTGTGGTTTTGATTTGCATTTCCCTGATGGCTAACGATGTTGTGCACATTTTCATGTGCTCATTGACCATTTGTATATATTCTTTGGAAAAACATCTATTCAGATTCTTTGCTTATTTTTTAATTGAATAATTTGCTTTTCTCCAAGTTTTATTTTTGATCCACCATGCTTAATTACCCACTTTATTTACAAGATCTGGAGCTAAATAGTTGGCTGCCATTTTCAAAGAGGAACCCTATCCTCAAAGGGGGAAGTCTGGCCACCACTGGAGGCATTCAAAAGAACCTGCCACTGACTTGGAGATCAACTCCATAATGAAAGAATGAATAGACTCTAAATATTTTCTCTCAAGGAAACATCATTATTTTGAATGTAGACATTAAACACACACACACATACACACACACACACACACACCACACACATACACACACACACACACACACACACACACCCCAAATTAATTGCATCCGTTTATAATCAGACCTCCAAAAGAGATACATCCATCTGAAAGCTCATTTTACCATGTTTTAGAGGAAATGAAATAATAGATAATTAAGCCTACTTTTCTAACTTCTGATTGCTGCTTTAAAACTTGCCTCAAGCTTTTAATTCTACACCAGTCATTTTCACCCAGTTGGCCAGGAGCCCCATGACATAATAGGATCAAGATGGCCAGAAATGGACTGGTCCCAGCCAATGGGAGTTACCTGAGCTCAAGGAATATGAAGGCTGTGTCCTCCTTTTACCTGCTCTGCTCCTTCTGGATGCTGACCAAAAGTCAAGAATTATAAGACATTTTAAACATGTGTATGGTGGATGTATGGTGCATATATCTATTTACAGGCACAATGAATGCATCCTGAACCAGCTCATCATCTAGTCAGAGCTGCCTTTCCGCTGAAATTTTGGCCTCTGATTTCCCTGCCTTTATTCACCATGGCCCTGTAACTGCCTGACATTTGCAAGCAATATAAACAAGGTTTGGCTCTGCTGTAATGTCTTTGAAGCAGTTCCTTCTACTGGGCAGCCCTTCTGTGTCCCATCAATGGCGCTGTGGGAATGTCGATCCAATGGGCTTGCTTGTAGGAAAGTTCACCCTGTTAGGGCACCTTCAATTTTCTCTTGGGAAATGAGGTGCAGAGCTAGAAACATCATTATTATCTTTTCCTTTGGCTTGATTCATGAGAGACCGAGGAAAAGGTGCCTTATGTAACAGAGCAGTGGTGCAGACTATTTTGGGATCCTTCAAATTAATCCATAACCAATCATATGATGGGCATCATTAGTGTTTTATCAATGTACAATATCTCTAGGAAGAAAAACACCCCAGGGATACTGAAAGCTTCTCTCACATAGCAAATGAGTGTTAGATGCTTATGACAGACAAAGCATCGCACTAATTGGCACAGCTACTCCTGACATTGGCCCTACCAAGTTGGTGTTGGCCCCAATTTACTCACGGAGAAACTGAGGTCGGACAATTTAAGTAATAAACCCAAAGTGAGACAACTAGTAAAAAGCAAAGTGCAGGTCTGTCTGACTCCACATCAAATCTTTATCCATTAGACTTTACCACCTCACGTCGGTCAAGTGGGAAGAATAATTCCTATTTCATGGTGGTGCTATGCCGATTAAGTGAGATGGTATGCAGAAGACATGCTCTATGAAAGGTGTTGGCACCTTTTCTGCGTAAAAGGCCAGTAGTATTTTAGTTTTTGAGGGTCATACTGTGGGAAAATAACCACAGGCAATCCTAAATGAATTGTTCATAGCAGAGTCCCAATAAAACATTATTACAAGCATAATTGCTAGTCATGGTTTGGGGCCTCTACTTTACAAGATTTGAACTTATTTTCATCAAGATTACTATTTTTTTATACAAAGTAATCTTCTCTTTTGAACTATAAATGCTTTCTTCAACCCCGGATAGAGCCACTCCTGGCTCCTTTTCAATGTCTGC